GATTCTCCTGCCTCAGCCTCCTGAGTAGCTGGGATTATAGGCACACGGCACCACACCTGGCTAATTTTTGTATTTTTCATAGAGATGGGGTTTCACCATGTTGGTCAGGCTGGTCTCGAACTCCTGACCTCGTGATCCATCTGCCTTGGCCTCCCAAAGTGCTGGGATTACAGACATGAGCCACCGCGCCCGGCCTGTTTTTTTAATTTCTAAGATTAGTTCTCAGCACTTACTATTGGGTGAACAGGACTGGGGATATATGAAGTAATTAGCAGAAAACTTAGTAGTGTCATTAAGAAAACAGGAAAATGTTAACTTGTAACAGATGGAAGGGTATTGAGAGTCATTGAGAGGTTCTTCCTTTCAATCTGGTTAAGATTTAGAGAGGAGGGAGAAAAAAAAAAAGTTCTGAGATGAGGAAGTGAGAAATAGCTGAATGGAAAAAATTCATATTAGGAAATAGTATCAAACTTAAATATTTAACATAGAACAGAATCAGATTTAGAAAATATTACGAGTTTACTGTCTTTGAGGCAATGTGCATTTCCCATACAACATGTGTTTTTACTTATATTAATTACTCTGAGGTAGGTGACATTATCCTCACTTACAGATTTAAAACTGAGGCTCAAGGAGACTTAGTCACTTGCATAGATCACTCAGCCTGTGAAGGCCAGTGTGACCCAGGTGTGACCCTGGTCCTTTGTCCTTGAAGCTCGGTCCATGTGCTTTCTGCTTTGTCAGGTCTTGGCTTGTGTCCAGTTTGGATGGATTTCACTGAGAGGCAGATAGTTTCTTAACAGGTTGTAAGATAATGTAAGCCATGTGACAGAAATATTATTTTGTAATTTTAATACATTTGTAGTGGATGTTGTTTTTAAAACAAGACTGCCTAAAAAGATAATGATTTGTTTAAAAAAGGGAACATTCTTTTTCTCTGTTCTTCCTACTTCTTTTCTTTTGGTTCATTTTTTTCCCTCCCTTTCATTTGTCTTTCCTTTCTCTTCTTTGTCCCCATATTATATATTATTATTATTATTACTTTGAGAGAGAGTCTTGCTCTGTTGCCCAGGCTGGAGTACAATGGCATGATCTTGGCTCACTGCAACCTCTGCCTCCCAAGTAGCTAGAATTACAGGTGCCCACCACCACGCCCAGCTAATTTTTGTATTTTAGTAGAGATGGGTTTCACTATGTAGGTCAAGCTGGTCTCGAACTCCTGACTTCAGATAATCCACCCACCTCGGCCTCCCAAAGTGCTGGGATTACAGGCATGAGCCACCGTGCCTGGCCTAATTATTTTTCAATAATACAAAACTGAACTTGAATCTTCTGTTTATCAAAAGAAGTTTTCTCCCATTTATTTTTTATGACATTTTTAAAGTGACTTAAAATTTTAAAAAGATGTTTACTGGGTGGATTTTTTTATCTGTGGTTTTGTGTAGGTCTCTGCAGAACTTCTCCCACTTTGAGGGCCTAACAGTAAATCTTAAAGCAATGGCTCCCCGCCTTTCCCCCAAATTCAGTTTTAAAGTTAAACAAAAATGACACCTGGTGGCAAGTCTGTTCAATTACAAGTTTTATTTCCAGTTTATTGCAGTAAAATAAAAAGTATTACAGTTTTGGAGAGCTTAAGCTAAAGAATGTGATTGAAATAAACTATAACCTCAAACATGTTTTACAAGATAAACCCAAAGCAGGGTCTAAATACTATCTACTTTTTCCTTTATCAGCAGGCTTATATATCTAGTGCTTATTACCTATATCGCCTCATGAAAATGATTCTTCTTCCGTCAGTTATCAAGGGAAATCTAAGTATTGGCTTTTGTTTCACTTACCTATTCTGGATAATAAGGGGTTTTTAAATTATTCTCCATCCTGTTGTCTTACTTTGGTTGGTTTTGTTAAGGTGTTTTCATTTTACATATTAAATCCATCAATCTTGTTTCTGATCTCCTCCATTTTTTCAAGAGTAAACCTCCCTTGTTTAAAAGAAGTATGCAACAAGACCCTTAGTCTATTTCATAGTTGACTTGAATATTTTTGCATTGTGCAAAAAATTCAGTCTACAGTTAAATCTTCATAATGATACACTTTAAAATAGCTTGAAAACTAGTATTGGTACTTTCTGTATAATCATGTTTTATCTTAAGTCCTTCCAGAACCCTAGAAAGTAGGTACTAATATTATTCTCATTTAACAGATGAGAAAAATGAGACCACAACGCTAGAAAAAGGTAGAGCACAGGATGTGAACCACGGCCTCCTGGCCACTTGTGCCATGCTGTATGTGTAGAAAGAGCTGGTCCACTGACCTTTGTCAAATAGAGTCCTTCTGTTTTGTTACTTCTGGATTGGTTTATTATTTTTATTCTTTAGTTACCTTATAGCTAGCTTCAACTCAGAGGAACTTCTGGATTGTTTTAGTAAGCTCTTACAAATATTTGAATATTTGCTTTTTGGAATTTCAGTAATATGCCATTGTTTAATGTTTCTGTTTTGAAGTCAGTATCCTTCATTTACATGTCACCCTGAAATAGATTTTTTTCAACTTTTATTATAAGTTCAGGGGTACATGTACAGGTTTATTACACAGGTATATTGTGTGATGCTGAGGCTTGGAGGATGAGTGAGTTCATTTTCCATCTCCCCGGTAGTGGGCATAGTACCCAATAGGCAGGCTTTAGCCCCTGAGCCTCTCCTTCCTCCCTCATCTTGTATTCCCCAGTGTCTGTTCTCATCTTTGTGTCCCTGTGTACTCAGTGTTTAGCTCCCACTTATAAGTCAGAAATGTGGTATTTGGTTTTGTTTCTGCATTAGTTTGCTTAGGATAATGGCCTCCAGCTCCAACCATGTTGATGCAAAGGGGACATGATTTTGCTCTTTTTATGGCTGCATAGTATTCTATGGTGTATATGTATCTTTTTTTTTTTTTTCTTTTTTTTTGAGACAGAGTCTTACTCTCTTGCCCCCGTGATCTTCCCTCCCCCCAAAATGCTGGGATTCCAGGCGCGAGCCACTGAGCCTAGCCACATTTTCTTTATCCAATCCAGAGTTCATGAACACATATTTACTTGAAATAGATTTAAAATCAGTACCATCATTATCTTTAATTAGGTCCATTGCAAAGTTATACTTGACTTTTCCATATTTCCCTTTTTCTTTTAAAATAATTCAGAAAATCCAGACGTGGTGGCTCAACTGTAATCCCAGCACTTTGGGAGGCCGAGATGAGTACATCATCAGGTCAGGAGTTCAAGACCAGCCTGGCCAACATGGTGAAACCCCATCTCTACCAAAAATACAAAAATTAGCCAGGTGTGGTGGTGTGCGCCTATAGTCCCAGCTACTCTGGAGGCTGAGGCAGGAGAATTGCTTGAACCCTGGAGGCAGAGTTTGCAGTGAGCCAAGATGGTGCCACTGCACTCCAGCCTGGATGACAGAGCAAGACTCCATCTCAAAAAAATATATAAGTAAATAGACATTTCTAGTACATCACAATAGTACTGAGGTATATCTTACTCTGATCCGTAGTTTTATGTTTATTTTCTTGAGAAATTATTTTACACTAATGTCACTAACTTTATGCCAGTTACTGGTTTTAAATAAATGCTCATATTAATCTATTCTTCAAGCTTTAAGAAATTTAATCTTATTCAAATGCCTCATGTATGTACAGGACATGGTGGCAGTTCAAAGGAATACACAGTTTTCCCTGGAGGCCAGGAAAGGCTTCAAAGATAAAGAGCCCTCTGCCCAGGTTTAGGAGATACATTTAAGATTCAGCTCAAGTTTGAAAGTACCCTCCACATTTAGACATAGCTCTGTAGTATCATTTGGATTGTTTGTGAAGTGTCTAATGTGTACCCAGTGCTTTCACATGAGAGTTGATGAAAGGACAGATGGCAGCAACAGGAAGAGACAGTGTCCAGGTTTACTCACTCATAAAAAGCCCACATAGGAAGTACCAGGTTTACTTCTAAAAATCCTACACAGGAAAGTTTCATATGGCTAGTAAAGATCTCGGCATCTTCAAATCAAGAATCAAATTTTAGAATTTCATTAACATTCTAAATTTGATTTCTATAAATTTATAAATTTTTGATTTCTATAAATTTAGAAAATTATGGATTTGATTCTTGATTTCTTTTTTGAGATGGAGTCTCACTCTTGTTACCCAGGCTAGACTGCAATGGCGTGACCTCAGCTCATTGCAACCTCCACCTCCTGGGTTCAAGCAATTCTCCTGCCTCAGCCTCCCAAGTAGCTGGGACTACAGGCGTGCACCACCATGCCCAGCTGATTTTTGTATTTTAGTAGAGATGGGCTTTCACCATGTTGGCCAGGGTGGTCTCAATCTCTTGACTTTGTGATCCACCTGCCTCAGCCTCCCAAAGTGCTGGGATCACAGGCGTGAGCCACTGCGTCTGGCCCGACTCTTGATTTGAAGATACCCCGATCTTAGTTACTAGCCACATAAAACTTTCCTGTGTAGGATTTTTTGAGTAAAACTGGACACTGTCTCTTCCTGTTGCTGCCATCTGTCCTCTCATCAACTCTTGCATGGCAGCACTGGGTACACATTAGATATTTTACAAATGAAAGAATCACTTAGCAAGTTTGATTTACGAAGGATGCACAGTTTCATGTTGTTCCTGTAAATGTTCTGTCTAGGTTGGGGACCAGATTGTTGAAATCAATGGGGAACCTACACAAGGAATCACACATACTCGAGCCATTGAGCTCATTCAGGCTGGTGGAAATAAAGTTCTTCTTCTGCTGAGGCCAGGAACTGGCTTGATACCTGACCATGGTAAGTAAAGTAGCCCACTGGTAGCTGAAAAGTTGTATTTTAGGGAGGGGGCAGAAGAAAAGGAATATCTATTTGGAGAGGATGGATATTTTACTAGTTAATTCAGAGATGAACCCTAGAACCATCAAAAGCTAGTTACATAGCAGAGTTATAAGTATTAGAAAACAAGTGACTTTGTCAAGTAGAAATTTTGTTGGAATGGAATATATTTTAAATTCAATCAGAAAAAAATATATAGTAGTTTTCATAGAGAAATGTGCCTGTAGAAAAAAAAAATCAAGTGTATTAGAGGCAAATGATTTACATGTCATTAAAAAAACATTTTAAATCTCTTCAAAACATCCCAGATTTTCCCTTACTTGGCTAATTACACATTACCAACAAACATTTTTATTTCTGTAAAGCAAGATAGGTTTATACTGTAAGGAGTAAGGAGCCTGAAAACTTAAGGCTTTTCTGATGACTCGGCAAAAACAAGTTGCTCTCACCCTACCTGCAGACAGGGAGCTGGACCCGAGACCTTGTCTGTCCCGTATTAACGTTAAACTTCCTGGGTTTCCACTGCATGTTCTGAAATACCATGGTATTTGAAAGTCACTATTGTTTGAGTGCACTATTCTAGAAATAAAGGCAGTACCACACCCACGCAGTAACTGCCTCATCTAGCTCCCCACCCCCAGCCCTACCCCACCCCATCCCACCGCTTTTGAGGGATGAGTGTAGACATAATCTCCTACAGTACCCTTCCAGCTTATGATTCTCTGGCTGTATTATCTTCCACCATCTGCTTGTAAATCATACGTTCCCAGTGACATCTTTGCTAACTGCACTGATTTTTTTTTTTTTCACATAGTCCTAGGCTTTTTCTCTTCCCTCTTCAGGTTTGGCTCCTTCCGGTCTGTGCTCCTACGTGAAACCCGAGCAACATTAAGGCTTTCAGGGCTTTTCTTGGTCTTTCCTTAAAAAGACTTGGTAAATTTGCATGTCTTGTAAATCACTTCCTTCTTTTGTTTTCTTTTAAATTAAAAATGATGCTGTTAAGTACATCTATTTCTATCTTCTGCACTTTTCAGTCTCCTTTTGACATTAAATTTGACAGCTTAATGCAAGAGAACTATTTACAAATGCCCATGAGCCTCATTCTGGTTACCACAGTTTGGTTTCCTTTATTAGTGATTTTGCCATATCCTAAACTATATCCATTAATAATAATTAGTGAGCTTCTTGGACCAGGTAATTTGGTTCAACTTTTTGTAACTTGTAAGTTCTGACGGGGCTTTACTAATAGAGAATTTACAGATCATATCTCACTAATTATATGTAATTGGAAAAAATATCTATATAAACAACCTATCCTTCATGTATGAACAGATGTCTATACACGTCTGCCTTTATAGAGATATGTTGTAAACATATAGACTGTATAAAACACTCATAAGCTTTTTAAGCAGTCAGTACAATTCAGATGGCTGTCAAAGTTCAAAACGTATTGTTCCTATTTATAATTCTAAAATTTAATGTTCCATTCAAATCACTTTTTTAGGTGATTGGGATATTAATAATCCTTTATCTTCAAATGTGATTTATGATGAACAGTCACCATTACCCCCATCTTCACACTCTGCTTCCATATTTGAAGAGTCTCACGTGCCAGTAACTGAAGAATCCTTAATGAGAGTTCAGATATGTGAAAAGGGAGAAGAATTTAAGGACATTGTGCCTGAAAGGAAAAGCACTTTAAATGAAAATCAGCCTGAGATAAAGCATCAGTCTCTTCTCCAGAAAAATGTGAGTAAGAGGGATCCACCCAGCAATCATGGGCACAGTAACAAGAAAAATCTATTAGAAGTAGAAAATGGTGTTACCCAAAGAGGCAGATCAGTTAGTCCCAAAAAGCCAACCAATCAGCATTCAGAGGAACATTTGGATAAGATTCCTAGTCCTCTAAAAAATGACCCCAAAAGAAGACCCAGAGATCGATCCCTCAGCCCCAGCAAGGGGGAAAATAAAAGTTGTCAGGTCAGCAGCACCAGGGCAGGTTCTGGACAAGATCAGTGCAGAAAAAGTAGAGGTCGGTCTGCCAGCCCGAAGAAGCAGCAAAAAATTGAAGGAAGCAAAGATCCATCAAATGCTGAAGCCAAATTATTAGAGGGTAAGTGTCGAAGAATAGCAGGCCATGCAGGCGATAATGCTGAGGAGATCCCAGATGGGAAGGAAAAGTCAGGCGTCATCAGGATAGATGCAAAGCAGAATCAGTTGGAAAAAAGCAGAACAAGGTCTCCAGAGAAAAAAACCAAAAGGATGGTTGAGAAGCCTCTTCAATCCAGAAAGACGAGTAACACTACAAGTAAAGTAGAATCTGAAAATGAAAAAGGAAAGAAAGTAACCATAGGAGAAACAAGTTCTAGTAATGATAAAATTGGAGAAAATGTCCAGATATCAGAAAAGAGGCTGAAGCAAGAACCTAAAGAGAAGATAGTTTCAAACAAAATAGAAGATCACAAAGGGAAAGAACTAGAGGCAGCTGACAAAAACAAAGAGACTGGAAGATTCAAACCTGAAAGTAGTTCTCCAGGTAGGAAAGCACCGATAACGCCAGGGCCCTGGAAGGTGCCGAGTGGAAATAAAGTCGCAGGCACTGCTGGTATGGCTGAGAAACGGCAGTAACCTTTAGTATAAAACAAAGAAACACAAGTTGTAATCTTTTCTTACAGCAGCATTTTTCCAGGAAAAAAAAAAAAAAGCCTTTTTCTTTTCAGATATTCTGAAACAGATAAGTACATGTTAATGTGAGCATCAAGTTACCTAGGCTGCATGAAAGGCCTTAGAATTGCTAAGAACCAACTGTCCCCTTGGCTGGCTGCCCTCCCTTGCACTCAGGAAGGAGCTGCATCCACATGCTCATCTGACCCGCCCTGCTCAGGCTGCCCAGCTCGTCTTCATGAGTGTCTGAACAAATGTTGATATTAACAATGTGGTCACAACTCACTTTGTATTTGTGCCAAGTTATCTACTGTATCATGTCTGTTTTTATCCTTCTCGTTCAGCTATTTCCACAGTAAAGAAAAAGTTAGGTTTGGCTTGGAAGTTGATGTTCTCAATAGCATGTTGCATGTTTACAGAGAGAAATATTTGAGTCCTCGCAGAAGAAGAGACTGTCAACTCACCGTTAAAGATAGCACTTGTCTCTTCCAACAGCTGCTGATGATGTCCCAGTTTAAAAATAAACCCCCCAAACATCACTACTTCTTTACAGAAAAAAAATGCAGTCCAATACTGATGCTTTCTTATGGCTTATTTTAATTTGGCTGGATACGTTGTTCCAAGTAAGTGTTAAAGATATTACTTACAACTGAATGTTTGAAATGAGAACGTAAGCAATAGAGTCCATCTCCTGCTGTGTTATCCAACATTGATGTGTAGTTGCAGCATCTCAGGTCACCCTTTTTATTATTTGTTATTTCATTATGAAACCATAAAGAAGCATGTGGAAAATAGTGTTTATTGCTCTTTGAAGAAAAACCACCAACTATTTCTGGATATTTTGGCTTTACCTACTACTAAAGTCATTAGTCTTTAATATATAATGCATATTTGCAAATGAAATGTATAGATCATGTGAGGGACTTAATCACGAAACCAGTTTCACAGTCCGGGTACCAGCTCTTCTGCTAGCAGGTGTACAAGCTTGGGTGTTTAGAACAACCTATGTACGGTCTTACCCAGCAAGTAAAGACAAATGTGTAGACAGTACTTACTGGATCTTATTTAACTTCTAGCTACATTAACTTTCTTATTTAAAAACAAGAAAGGGAGACTAAACATCTGATTAGCTTGTACACATTTTCAGAATTCTTTTAAAAAGTCTAGTTAAACATGTTTCTTAGAAGTTGGAGACTGTTAACTTCCATAAAATAGATCAGGTTTTTCAGTTCCCTGAAGCAGCATTCAGTAGCATCTATAAATAAAGGCACCCTCTGAAAATAAAAAACTCTTTTATGGAGTGTGTAAACACACTTGTTCTGTCACCCTGGGTTCATCTTGTTGTGAAGCACATTATGTCCAGGTCCTTCCCTCTGGGAGTCTGACTGTGAAACTCTTTAACCCAACAACTGTATTAGCCCCTGTAGATAAGACATGCTTCCCAGAGTGAGATTTTTGAAATCCCTTTTCATCCAGAACTGTATTTACACACTATTGTAACTATTCAAATAAAGCAAAATTATTAGGAGGCTTGATAAATACTAAGAATTTAGTACCACAGAAATTATTTATTTTCCCTATAGTCCACAATTAGTGATAACAAATCCTATTTTTGTTAACCGTGACATAACTTTGATGTCCTATGTTGTCCTGTGTGGCTTTTCCTTTCTAAGTAACCTCTGTACTGATTCTATACTGACTTAGCAATGCAGCCTTGGAATGCTGAGCAAGATATGGGTGTACTGGTTGTAAATGTTGATATATTGTACAGTGCCTTTATATACACTCGAGGTTCTGACTAGAGAAAGATCTGTAAATTGCTCGTTATTTTTTATATAGATATTAAAAAAAAAAAAAAAAAGTTCATGGCCTGCATTTCTTTTTACTGTCAGATTGGTTTAGTGTTGCTTTCTAATGGTGGAGCTAGGTCCATCATAGACTGAGCCCTCAAATAGATTTTCTCTCTCCAACTAACAAACATTTAGAGTCCTAAAATCAGGAGGACTCTTATAGCTATACTTTTGTTTACACATAGAGTTTGAAATTGTTCAGAGTTGAATATCATTATACCCATTTTTCATCTTTCATTGTAAAGAAAATAGCTTTGGGTAGATAATTTGCTACTAAAAAATCCTTCCTTAACACTATTGGGGAGACAATAAAGTTTCTTATTGGAAATTCAGCTACTAGACGTTTATAATGGATATAGTAACATAAGTCCATTTACCACAAGGTCACAAAATTCCATTTCATTAGACTAACAATTCACATTATTTTTAAAGGTCATTTATTTAGTTTTATACTTAGAATGAAGTGTTTTTATTTAACTCAGTATGAAAAATGGCTAAAACCTACTTCAAGATCATGGTTAATTTAATACTCTCTTTTAATGTGAAAAATAAATTCCTACCTACCATTTCAAGAACTCATACTAAAAGTAAACCCACAGCTGGGCACAGTGGCTCAGGCTGTAATCCCAACACTTTGGGAGGCCAATGCAGGCAGATCGCTTGAGGTCGGGAGTTCAAGACCAGCCTGGCCAACATGGTGAAACCCCATATCGACTAAAAATACAAAAATTAGCCAGGTGTGCTGGCAAGTGCCTGTAATCCCAGCTACTCAGGAGGCTGACGCAGGAGAATCACTTGAACCCAGGAGTTGGAAGCTGTAATGAGCTGAGATCGCGCCACTGCACTCCAGCCTGGGTGACAGAGTGAGACTCCATCTCCAAAAAAAAAAAAAAAAAAAATTACCCAAACTTCTAGTTCCCAGACCCTACAGTGAAAAGCTTCTGTCATAGCAGAGGCTTAGGAAACTGACAGTAAAATCATTTTGTTGTTGTTTTAGTGAAAATATTTTCTTACTGGTCACAACAGGGAGAAAAGCTCTGAGATACTATCCCATTGTCTCACTAGTGAGAACAGAAGGCTAAGATCCCATGATACTGTATTCTAGTTACGTCAGTCTTGGACCAGGCAGCTTCTGAACGGGGTCAACTCTTACTTCAGAAGTCTTGGACCCAGAAAGGCATTTGGCTTTTCATTCTACCTGAGAATACCTTGTTATTTCCCCTTTTAATAGCAAGATTTAAAAGGGAAATAAATGTATTCATGTAGAAATAAAACCAAATGATTTTAAACATATAAAGAATTTTATGTTTAATTAATGTCCACCATTCAAAGAG